CCGAAGGAGTGGCAGACCGGGGTGGTGGTTCCCCTTTTTAAAAAGGGGGATCAGAGGGTGTGTGCCAATTACAGAGGCATCACACTACTCAGCCTCCCCGGGAAGGTTTACTCTAAGGTACTCGAAAGGAGGGTCAGGCCGATTGTCGAACCTCAGATTGAGGAGGAACAATGCGGATTGTGGTCGTGGAACAACGGATCAGCTTTTTACTCTTGCAAGGATCCTGGAGGGGGCCTGGGAGTACGCTTATCCGGTCTACATGTGTTTTGTAGACTTGGAGAAGGCGTATGACCGAGTTCCCAGGGAGTTACTGTGGGAGGTGCTGCGGGAGTATGGGGTGAGGGGGTCTCTACTCAGGGCCATCCAATCTCTGTACTCCCAAAGCGAGAGCTGTGTCCGGGTCCTCGGCAGTAAGTCGGACCCATTTCCGGTGAGGGTTGGCCTCCGCCAGGGCTGCGCTTTGTCACCAATCCTGTTTGTAATATACATGGATCGGATTTCGAGGCGTAGTCATGGGGGAGGGGGTCTGCAGTTCGGTGGACTAAGGATTGCACCACTGCTTTTTGCAGATGATGTGGTTCTAATGGCTTCATCGGTCTGCGACCTTCAGCACTCTCTGGATCGGTTCGCAACCGAGTGTGAAGCGGCTGGGATGAGGATCAGCACCTCCAAATCTGAGGCCATGGTTCTCAGCAGGAAACCGATGGACTGTCCACTCCAAGTAGGGAATGAGTCCTTACCCCAAGTGAAGGAGTTCAAGTATCTCTGGGTCTTGTTCTCGAGTGAGGGAACAATGGAGCGTGAGATGGGCCGGAGAATCGGAGCAATGGGAGCGGTACTGCAGTCGCTTTACCGCACCGTTGTGACGAAAAGGGAGCTGAGCCAGAAGGCAAAGCTCTCTGTCTACCGGGCCATTTTCGTTCCTACCCTCACCTATGGTCATGAAGGATGGGTCATGACCGAAAGAACGAGATCGCGGATACAAGCGGCCGAGATGGGTTTTCTCCGCAGGGTGGCTGGTGTCTCCCTTAGGGATAAGGTGAGAAGTTCGGTCATCAGGGAGGGACTCGGAGTTGAGCCGCTCCTCCTTCGCGTCGAAAGGAGCCAGTTGAGGTGGTTCGGGCACCTAGTTAGGATGCCACCTGGGCGCCTCCCTAGGGAGGTGTTCCAGGCACGTCCAGCTGGGAAGAGACCAAGGGGTAGACCTAGGACCAGGTGGAGGGATTATATCTCTTCGCTGGCCTGGGAGCGCCTTGGGATCCCCCAGTCAGAGCTGGTTGATGTCGCCAGGGACAAGAAAGTTTGGGGCTCTCTGCTGGAACTGCTACCCCCGCGACCCGACAACGGATAAGCGGGAGAAGATGGATGGATGGATAGATGGATGGATAAAATTGTATTATTGAATTTGACCAAATTAGTGCAAACTATAAATAGGGAAATTACAATGCTATTATGATAATTGATTCACTTTAATTTAGTGCGCTGAAGGCATAATAAATACAACATTGGCGCTGTGGTACAAGTCAAACTTAGCTGGATATTAAACACATCTGATGCTAGAAAATGTAGCCCACCACCCAGCCGCCTCCACTGTGAGGTTTATTCCAGACTCCAGTGGTTTCAACAAATGCTGGTAATAGGACCAAAAAAGTGCTTCTCTTCTCTTTTTTCCAGAGAATCTATAATACGAAGCATAAAACCCAAGGGACTATAAGCCTCACAAATAAAAGTGTTTGAAATGCAAAGTAGAATACATAATAAAGCCTTTATGAGACTTCCCTTGCAGTAATGTATGAACATTACATACACACCAATAAAACATTCTGTCCTCTTGTTTCTAAATTAGCGTATACTCTTAAAAAGTAGAATACATTAATTTGTATTGCTTTTGAAGCAAAAGCTGAATCATGTGTTAAGTGTAAAGCCTTGAACAAAAAAAACTATCAAGTTAGGAGCACAACAAAGTCAAAGCATAATCTTCCAAAATTAAAAGAGTTGGTTCATAAGGACAACACAGGTATTGTAGGGTGCTTTGAATAATTATAAGAAAATAAACATGTGGTGGAGGGACTGTGTTTTTGGAGAACAAAAAAGTATGTTAGAAGATTGAGTTACTGAGGGTGAGGAGAGTAAAAACCATGATAACAGTTATGGGCTGTTGACACAAGGTTCAGTTTCCACGTCTGGAGTTATTATGTCGAGCTTATGCCGTCAAATTCAACACGGGCAACTGTATCAGTTGTCAAAGGACAATAAACTGTGGTTTACTTGGATTGAATGTTTGGGTCTTCTGAATTTTTTATTTAGAAACGCTGACATTTTTGGAAAAATGAAATAGTCGTGCAACTAAAACCGTATGTGATATTGCTGAAATATTTTTTAACAAAGCACAAAAGAACATGCTCCAAGGTGCAGCTGAAGAAACAAACACTTGGCAGAAGAGATTAAGCATTCGGTAGAAGGGTCTTATCTTGTATAATTTTTTGTCACAGCTTACCTTTTATGAGTATTGCTATTCCTGTAGAACTCCTGAAGACAAACAATTAAGCCCCCACTTGGGGATCCAACAGCAATATTAAGGTATTGGGTTTAAATTGAAGCCACCAATGAATGCTAATGAACTTGTCAGCACTGGATCGAAGTCCATCACACAAAGAGCTAAGGATGTGACTTTGACACATTCTCGTACTCAAAATAAGTGGGTTTAATGACAAAAGAGAGGTGACGAATGAAGAGGGGATCTGGGAAAATTCCAATTCCATTTAATTCAAATTCATAGACTGGCTGGTTTCTCCTTGTGTAATAGAAACATGATTAATCAATGAATACTCAATACAGCCCAAAAGAGGGGGGGGAAGCTATAAAACATGTATACAGTAACTATCTCCAAATACATCTTCAAGGACACACAAATCCTATATACTGGGTTTTTATCAGGTTTGAAATTGACCTTATTACTGTAAAGTTGTAATCTAAAAATGTCAGTCCTGGTTGATTTGGCTAAATCCATTTTATAATAAAAAAAAATAAATAGTTTTGTCGGTTAAACAATTCAGTTGTAAAGCATGAACATTAAATATTTCCATCTGCATTAGCAGTTACGTAACTCGGCCCTTTTACAGTGAAAAGAGAGCGAGCCATCAATGAGATAAAAGCTGAATAACGCTCATGTCTGAGTTCTCAATCCAGTGCAGAAATGGCATTATCTGGCACTAACCATAAAAATAACATAAAAAGTACAAAATTATGAATTTATATCAACATGGGTAATGCAGGGATAATTCCAAGTAAAATTGTTCCAAAAATAGGATTACGTTTCACTATTTTATCTCACAGTTGGCTCCAAACTCCACATGTGTTGTGCCACAGCAACCCCTGATTACAAGTTTGGGGAAAATAGGACAGCTGGTGTCGGGTCATAGTTGTATCATCACATACATTGGTGTAGGGGTAGAGGAAAACAACACACACCAGTTGGAATTGGTATAATTATAAAGGGTTTATTTTAAATAGCCGGGTAAACAAAATGGCAGGCATGCAGCCTGGAACAAACAAAAAGGCCAAAAGGGCACAGGTTGATAAATAACCAACAAAAGGAGGACTCTAAAAAAGGAGTCTAATCGCATACAGGGAAAATAAATACTCAGACACTAATTAAAGAACGAAACAAAACCTCACTTTAAAAGTGGTACAACTAACAAAGGAAGGCTGTAAGAAAACACAGCTAAGGTAGAGGACAACAGTCAAATAATACTAAACTAATCTAAGCACATCTAATCACAACAATACTGACAAACACAGACCATACCAGTTAACCACTGTTAACAGCTTTGCACACACACTAGCAACTAGCGAGAGGCATCCGCTCACACAGCAGAGCCTCCAGAGTGATGATTGTCCCCAGGCTTTGTAGTCATCTCAAGCAGGTGTGCGCCGGCTGTGCGCTGCGATTGGAGTGCGTCGGCCCGGCGTGCTCCAATCACAATCTTCAGGGGGCGGACCAGGAGATGGCAGCCAATCACTTCAGGGCAATCGCACAGCTCATTTACATACAACACAGATTAGCACAGTAAAGACGACCCGGAAGGCAGCAGCCGTAACACTGATCAATGAATGGATGCTTCACATTAGATAAAAGCTGTCTGTAATGGCTAACCAGCCACCTTCCCTAGAGCCATACTGTTCAGTGAGAGCCACAAGGCTTAATCACCACCCCTCACCCTTAGCTTGAAGGGTAAGAAGGGCTGACATCCAACTGAAGAAGCTGTGTGGTACCGTAGATAAGGCTTCCTGTGTTCTCCTTATTGATTCCACACTGAAGAAATCCTTGTCTGACTTAATCAGAGTAGACAGTTCAGTGTTTTCCATGGATCGCTTTGTACACATTCTGGCACGTTATCAGCAAGTTCTGACAACGTTTGCTAATATAATACGAGTTATAGCGTGCATAGGGAAATATAGTCTACATTTTCAAATGTCTTTTCTTTGGCCTCTTAATAAACATGCTGTCTGGCAACTATCCATACACACAGAAACGTCTGTGTTTGGGTCCCCCTCTGGCATTATGGAAATTGCCAACCTCACATATCCATTCCTGTTGGCCATGTGATATCTTATCTGAACAGGATTAAATTAATGTATCTCAACTGTTATCCATGTTGTCTACAGTATAAAACAGTAGTTCATTTTTCTTGTCAAAATAACATAATAATAATAATAATGAATGAATGAATAATATCCATTCTAGGAAATCCCTATCAAGTTGATCATCAACTTTTGTACAATATCATCCCATTTCCTCCTCCCCTTTTCCTCCTATTTTTCCTCCTCGCTCATTGCCTGTTGTCAGCATCAGGTAACCAGGCCTAATATGCTTTAATAGCATATGGTTGCTATGCTGTTGTTTCTGTATCCTTCCTTTATGTCCTCATCTGTCAGTAATCACTCCCCAAACTCTCCCTCCTATACCTCTATCTCTACCCTGCTATGTTCTTCCTCAGGTAATAAGTTCTCCTACTGCCATGCCTCCATGCTGGTTGCTGGGGTCTGGTGCTACGCTGGAGTGTTTGCTGTCGGTCCCCTGTCAGGCTGGGGAGAATACGGGCCCGAGCCTTACGGTACAGCATGCTGCATCAACTGGGAAGCTCCAGGCAGAAGCTTTGCAGCTATGAGCTACATCATATGCCTTTTCTTCTTCTGCTACATTGTGCCCAGCACTGTCATTTTCCTATCCTACACATTCATACTAATGACCGTCCGGGGCTCCCGCCAGGCTGTGCAACAGCACATGCCCCCGCAGAATAAGATCAGCAATGCACAAACACTTATAATCAAGGTAAGTACAATTTCCAACATACTTCAACTTATGTAAATACATATCCACTAGGGGTGTAACGGTTCACAAACATTTCGGTTCGGTACGTACCTCGGTTTTTAGGTCACGGTTCGGTACGTTTTCGGTACAGCAGAAAGGGCAGATCTGCTGGCACTAACAATGTCTCCTGCTGTGGAGAACACCCTCTCGCTAGGGACAGAAGTAGCAGATACAGCCAGGTAGCGCTTTGCTAACATGGCAATGAACTTTTTGCGAGTGGTAGAGGCTTACAGTAAAACATTTGCTAGTGGGAGTTGGGTTTGCACTTCAGTCATTTTTATTTTGGTACCGGTGATATTCACATTCGGGTTATGCCTTTTCAAATGAGTGTGCAAGTTTGAAGTATTGCTAGCCGCGTAATCAATTTTAGTTGACAACACAAAGCCGACAAACAGCTTTGGTTCAGTCCACCTGTCTTTGTCCATCATCCTTGTACGTAACTGCGAAACCAAAATGTTCCCAAACCGGAGACTTCAGTGATGCTGGAAGATTTTCGAGCTCAATCTTATCTGCGTTTGCCATTTCGACAGTTCCCCAAACTACTGACTAAATTTGAACACATCCCTGTGACCAGGGCCCTCATGTATAACGCCGTGCGTAGGATTCATGTGGGAAGGTGGCTTACGTAGTAGAAATCCGAAAAATAGGTACATACATTTCCCGACATTTTCCGATTCACCGAACATTGCGTACCGGCGAGGAAAGTGCGTACGGCACTTCCTACGCCGGTTTCCTTTTATAAATCACAATCGACTCGAAATGCGGTGCAGCTTTTGCGGGCTTCACGTAACGCCCATATTTGCCTATAAATAGTCAAAGAAACGCCCATTCATTCATTCTGACTGACTTTATGAAGAAGATCGCAGGAAATGACGACAGAACAGCTAAAAAAGACATCTCACACCGTGTCAGATTTTGGTTATTTTGGGGAGGTCGAGATAAATCATATTGTTTGGTGGATGCAGTTTGAACCAGAGTAGCAGCATGGAGGTCGTATCGTCACCAAAATAAATAATTAAGTGGTCCGAAAAAGGTTAATGACAAAAAAAACACACATAGCCTTCCTCAGGCAGTGTGTTTGTACCGGGGACAGGAGACACCCCCTTGATGAGAAACTGTAAGAAATTATCGGAGAATCCCTCCGGAGTGGAGTCATGACGACTGGATCTGAATAATTTTTTGTATTTGGTGGTTTGTGTCCCAGCTGTCGATCAACTGTGCGCAGCCTCTCCACTGCAGCAACTCTATATCCACCAGTTAAAGGAAATACAACTAATGTGTTGTGTTATATTAGCTGTACAATTTACCACATATGGTGTTCTTAGTTTCCATACCTCCTGTGTTTTACGAGCGATTAAACATGATAGTATATAAAACCATGCTCGTATCTACAACCTATAGAAATGCAAAACGGCGTCAGTTTAGACGTAATTCTGTCCTCCTGCTTACCGCATCATTTATGAGAAAACATTTCATAACATTAACACAACATATTCGAGGTGGTTTTAAATAACATATCCGTATTTATTTATTTCTCCAAGTTATGTTTTTGTGTGCACTGAGGAGTCTCAAACAGGCGTTTGTTTAATTAAGATTGCTTCAATCAATGTTTGAAAATGAATTCTTCATATATGATAAATGAGAGGTAACATTTTATTTATGGTATTATTTCCACATATTTCTCTCCATTCTTCCTTCTGCCAACGGTGTCGCAGTTTCTCGTCTCTCCCGTTTTTGTGCTTAGTGGTACGCATGGGTTAGAGTTTGCGTGGAGGACTGCACATTTTCTCGTCAAGTTAGTATTTTATAAATCACAAACATTGCATATCCCTTTATAAATGAGGCCCCAGCTCTCACAGTATGCCTCTCGTCCAATGAAATGACTTGGTCGCTCTATGACGCTTTGAACCGAATTTGAGCAAATTACACTGAACGCTGAGACGCAGCACCTGAGATTACTTCCAAAAAGTTTTTCACGTTCTCAATGTTTTACGTTTAACGTTACATTCGTTCGGTACACTTCGGTACACACGTGTACCGACCCGAAGGGCCCATACCGAATATTTTCGGTACGAATATGTATACCGTTACACCCCTAATATCCACATGACCCATTTATGTTGTTTATTGTGTCTCTTTTCAGCTCTCAGTGGCCGTTTGCATCGGTTTCCTGACAGCATGGAGTCCATATGCCATTGTGGCCATGTGGGCTGCATTCGGTGACGCACTCGAGGTTCCAGCCATTGCTTTCGCTTGGGCAGCTATCTTCGCCAAGTCCTCAACTCTTTACAACCCTATTGTTTATCTGGTCTTCAAGCCCAACTTCCGCAGGTCCCTTTGTCGAGATGTGGCGCTGTGCAGAAGCACACTCTGTGGATGTCAGCACAGCTCCCCATCAATGGGAACGTGCAGTCAATTCAATCACAAAGAAGAATGCAACTCCACACAGTTCTCCAATGGACTACCAGAGAACCACGGGACCACCTGCAGACACTGTGCGTGCCCTGAAGCAGTCACTGGTGCCAGAGAAAACTTAACAGAATACATCCCCCAGCAGACTTTCAGGATACTTAAAAGATCAATACATAGTGAGGTGGCAGAGAGTCAGCTTTCCATTGACATGCAGAGTGACTTCCTTTAGAGAAACAAAGCAACATAGCAAAAAAGCTGAAAAAAAGACAGCAAGAATGAAGGTTGAAAGACACTAACTGCAGCAAGGAAAAAGTGAGGGCAAATAACAACATAACAATTGATGGAAGCAAAAAACATTATGATTTATAAATGCCAAAGTCTGAAAACAAAGGACTTTGACTTGAAAATGTCAATTCAGTCTAATCAGCTTTGTCCATGTCAGAAGGCATGACTGAATAATAAACGCAGAATAATTGGGCGAAGGACTTAAAATAACTAAATCTTAAACGCTCAATAAACGCTATTTTCTTCAATATACTCTACGTTACAAAAGATAGGAAAGAAAAAACTGCTTAAGGATCCATTATCGATTATACAAAATGTAGTTTCTGAAGACAATCATCTGATATAAGCTATCTGTAAATACTTTGAATGATTACCAATACAAAGTCCGACAGGGCAAGAAATTAGCAGTTCAATGATCAGACTGTCAACAAGCCAACAATTTACCCAGATTATCTGAGTCACTTTTGTGAAACTTAAAGTTCAAGTGTGATTTAAGTTAAAATCCTTATTTGCAAAAGAAAAACTGTGTGTTCGCACAATTACTGCAAATATCGCAGGTCAATTTGCAAGGAGGAAAGCGTAAACTGTGATGATGCTTCGTAGCAAACCTGGGCCTTTGTTCAAAACTGGGTTGAGTTCAACTCTACAAAGTAGTCACTCTTAGTAAAGCAAGTGTGTATGTATCTGTGTGTATGAAGGTGGTTTATTATATTGTGTGTGTGCATATGTATATGTGTTTGTGTGAGTGTATTTTTATAATGTGCCTCTGAGGGTGTGGGTTCATCTCCTGAGAGAAGAAAATAACTCCTTTGACTCTGAGGCTGAAAACAATAACACAAAAGAACACTCAAATGGGCATATTAAACATGTTCCACAAGCCATTACAACAAAGACAGATACTACATTTAGGGCCATGCAAGGATATGGGCCACTTGCCTTTAGTGTTCAGTGTTATGTTGTCTCATGGAAAGGGGGGCTGGTTGTTCCATAAAAAGGATTTTTAACAAGAGAAACTAAACTATACTTCTGCACCTTTCAACAGTATTCCAATAAAAAAATGCTCAGCGCGCAGAGTTAATCTTAACAGCAGGGTTTGATCAACGAGCGATTTTGTTCTTTTTCCCTGGCAGTGTACGTCATCAAATGGAAGAACAAAAAGACCTGCCATGGAAAGGATTAATTAGATCTGCTGGGGTGCATGTAGCTAGTATCGACGGCCGTGACTTTCATACCATGTCTTTCTTAACTGATTGGATAACTGCAGGAATTACAGTTTTTACAGAATACCTGAGTATAAAAGCAGCTCTCATTGCGTTTATTTTTTCTGTTATGAAATAATAATTGGCTTTGAATCTTTTTTATAGATAACAATGGGCTCAGAGCATTGACGCGAAAAGCTTTAGAAAAACAAAAGTCGATCCTTTTTTGTTTTAATATGTACAAAACACTCTATATTAACAAGTTCATATCATGTTGAGATAGAAGAAAGAAAATATTTCTGCTGTGATACATTTCTTGTCTCATTCTTACATTTCTGTGCACTTTTCCATCTGTGAACTCATGGATTTATTACTCAAACCAGCCTTGCTAGATATTATTTCAATGCCGTATATCAAGGAATTCTGCAATATTGAACAATTCTACCAAACCCTAGACATTGTATCTGTTCAATGACCAAATAAGTAATTTCAAGATAGCTGGTAAAGTTATAGAAAGATAATTATTATAGCAAATCAATAATGGTTAAGGTATATATAGATTGAGGCAAAGTAAACAATAAGATAAGCTTATGTTATGGGTAGTAAACAATAAAAAAACATGCACACTATCTCCAGCCTTGGCACTGGACATGAAGATTTATTTTTGTTCATTGTCTTATCAAACAAATCATATGCTGTGCAAGCTCTAGCATAGGCAATATAAGTTATAGAGTCAGGAAGATACACACAATATTAGTTTTCATTCTATGTAACTAACAACTACTGTCTATTGCAGCGGTTCTCAAACTGTGGTCCGCGGAATAGGGCACTGCAGGTGGTCCGTGGAAAAAAGCTAAATAAAATCCACTTTTTATTATCAAGGATTTTCGCGGACCACCTCATATGCAAACTGTAAAAATGAGTACATATATAAACGTAGTGTTAAAACGCAGATATTTGTTATTGTTAATTATGGACAACTCTTCATTTCACCACTGGTTACCCATGGTTACGTGTGCATGTGCAAAACCACAAACATGGATTGGTGGCTAGCATCAGGATCTCTGAAGAGAAAAGAGGCTAAGGTTACTGTTAATGAAGATAATGAGAGTGAGTCGGAGTCGGAGGCATCTACAAGGCAGATTCCGCGGGAAAAAACAAAGAAAGGGAAGATTAAGAGAAAATACAATGAGAACTACATGGAACTGGGATTTACCTACACAGGCACTGAAGATGAGCCTTTGCCAGTATGCGTTCTGTACTAAGAGACACTGGCTAACGAGAGCCTAAAACCAGCTAATCTTCTAATCTGGCTTGTAGATGACTCCGACTCATTATCTTTATTAATGGTAACGTTAGCCTCTTTTCTCTTCAGAGAACCTGATGCTAGCCACCGATCCATGTTTGTGGTTTTGCACGCGCACACGTAACCATGGGTAACTAGTGGTGAAATGTAGTGTTGTCCATAATTAACAATAACAAATATCTGCGTTTTAACACGTTTATATATGTACTTATTTTTACGGTTTGCATATGTGGTCCGCGAAAATCCTTGATAATAAATAGTGGTCCGCATAAACAAAAAGTCTATTGTATACAAATGCATGGACGTACAGGGTATCAGCTTATTTCTATTTCTTACTATATAATCTCCAGGGTGAACACATAAGTGATAAATAGATTACTAACTGTGCACGGTACAATTCTTTCCCAGGATTGTACTTACTACTCTGACCTGTGAAAGTTTCATGTTGGCTTTACAGGATTTAGGAGACAATGGTGTCAAAGCTGAAGGATCACTACAACCAAATGTAACAGTTTGGTTACACTCCAAACAGTTTGGTTACACTTACTGTCAAAGCCAAAATGTTGTTGTGCTCAATGGTATTTTTCTATCAATATGCAGGTAACCATTTTAGGAACATACATATCAAAGACTGTGCTTCACAGGCCTTGTTTGGCCTGCACTCTGGGGCAAACATAGTGGAACAAACCAGGAAACATAACTGTGAAAATCTAAAACTGATGTCTCTTTTTTCTATTCTGTTCTCGAGTACAAACACTTTAAGTACCTCAGTGTATATTCTGATTCACTAACCATTCCCACCTTTGTCATCTCCACTGGTTTTACTCTTATGAAACAATGTGCATATCAGATGTCAGGGATTTCATGTAGATATCCGTTTACATGTATGTATAAAATATGTGTATGTACAGATTGAATTAATATATTATTATTGAATTAATATATTATCATGAATACAAGCCTAAATGTTTGAATACGGGATAAAGAAATCCCTTGCAGTGTTTTGAAATTGGGGCCCATCGATTCTTCCATCAGCTATACCGGCTTATCTTTGAGAAGGCTGCGAGGGCTGCATGGGGAGTTTTATTTTTCTGTTATTTCAGCTTCGGACTGACTTTAAAGCATTTCCATAAATCTTTCTTATTATAAAGATTTAGTGCAAAACAGCTTCCAGGTGTGTGAGATCTAATTCCTTTAGCTCCTGCTGATAACAGGTTAGCCTATATTATAGCTTATATAACACAGCCATAATGGCCATTGTATTTGACCACTATCAGTTAAGCTCTTTTTCACCACCATGGCGTGTTGGGACACATTGATCCAAGTGGGAATTATATTCTGTTATTTATATATTACATTACATGTCATTTGTTGGACGCTTTTATCCAAAGCGACTTACTGTGGACAATCCCCACAGGAGCAATTTGGGGTGAAGTGACACAACGACATGCTGACTGCAGTGGGACTCGAACTTGCTATCCCCTGATTCGAAGTCCAGCACACTGTCCACTGAGCTACAGCCTCCCCATATATATGTACAACGGAGCTATTACATATATACTGTATATTGGTATACATTGTATATGCCTCTACGAAGGTGACTGTATCTACCTCCCAAATAATCATGGAATGTATTTGTGGCTCTCTGAATTTGAATTAGAGATATGCAGAACTTAATATGCTTAACACTTTATTTTGAGAAATCCAAGTACAAGAAGTGTTTGATGTGATTACAGCCACTTGGATGAGTAGTTTACTGCAAGCATGCATAATTACAGAGAAATTAAAGTGCTGATATGTTGGAATTGTGCATGAAACGGCTTTAGCTGGATGCAATTATCATCATCACAAAGAAATCCTTGTTGTGCATGACACTGTTATAATAACAACAAGGATTTATTTTAAAAAATAAACATGTTTATCGGAGCTCTCTTTACTTTGTTAATCTACCATGGCAAGGAGCGTCCTTGAAACAAGACTTACATCATGAGACTGCATCAGCAGGAATATTATGTAGGAAGTGTTTATAATGCACTTCTTGAATTCTCCAAGCCTCCGCTGGGTCTGAACGATGTGATATCCTATACTTACTCTCTATATGTCTGTGCTAATCCGCTGTAAATAAAGCTGAATGCGATCAGGAGGATGCCACAAGAATCTGAATCAGCCAACTGCAGCTGGAGAACAAAGTCTTTGTAGGAATCCCCTATTTCCCCTTTGTCTTCTTCAAAGCAAACACTGTCCTCAGAGATTAGCATTTCAGACTGTACTGTATTACGCTGGTATATACTGTATTCATGCAAATAGATAGATGGCAGAGGTTTTGCAGCCACCTGGTTTCTAGGTCACAAACAAGGCTGAATGTGATGTGCTGTACCTACTGTATGTGTATGATGATATATTGAAAATAATGGATCAATATAGATTTTGAAATATTATCATAACATTATAATGATTGACATTATTACTGTTGTCAGTGACGTTTCAGATGCATTGTGAAAAATGTTTACATATTTTGTCTAAAATATATTGAGGATTGTATAAAAAATATTTTGTTCTGGAAAAAAATAGAACGATAAATAAATATAACTCATGAATCCATGAATGAGAATACAGCTCACTTTGTTTTCCCTTTTGTTTGCAAACTTCGATGCAGATAGTGGGTAGCTAAATGTCGGAGTGTGCAGTGCATCGTGTGTATTTCTGTGTGTGTGTGTGTGTGTGTGTGTGTGTGTGTGTGTGTGTGTGTGTGTGTGTGTGTGTTACACTTGGGGCAGGGGATTACATTTATTCAACCAATGTGTTGGATTTAACCGTTTTTGGGATTATTTGTCCTAATCATATTATGTTTTTAGAAGATCCCAATTTGTATCCCTTCAAGGGTTTTCTCCCAACTTGATAAAAGTTGTTCTATTTTCATTTTGAATGATAAGCAACGAGCGCACACTCATTAAACATTCATGAAAAAGCTCAATATTGCTGGGGATCGGCTCTTCCCAACCAATCCCACTTCTATCTGGACAGTGATATTCAAAGGCTGATTGAGTGGGTTAAGAATCATTTGAACCTTTCAGCTTGCATCTCAGTGAGGATAGAGTCTCAGATGGCCCTATATATTCTCTATCCACTTCTGATCTAGCTCTTACTTTTGTGCGTGCACAAGATGGAAGGCTGACAGACAGGGCGGCAATCCAATCCGGCTAAACGGATTGGTTGTACTTTTTACAGTATTACGGCTTCCACAGATGACATTTTTTTATGGATTTTTTGTCAAAGCACTTAAGATATTCATTGCTATCGGGATGTTAAGAGCATTCCATGGAATATAACAAAAAGTGTATCTCGAGCCGGTTTCTAAAACTTACCTACCCCACCTTTAAGGATTCATATATTGAAAGAGTTTTCCCTCTTTTCAGAGAAGGGACTTTGTGAGGAAAGTATACACCCCTTTTCTCAATAAACCACCAGATACGGTCAAATACCACAACAAAAGTATAATAATGTCCTCCTGTTTATACTTGGTATTAAGAGATCTCCCTAATTGACACGATGGGCTCGTAAGAACTCAGATGCTCGATTCCGTTGCTTTGTAATCTTCTTTATTGCAAAGAACTCAAAGCTTTTCAATGATGACTTCTAGGATCTACTAGAACTCTCCATAGAATCACTAGGTTCGACTAGGCAATGTAAAATAGGTCTCTGGCAAACAGGCATGGATGTGACGACCAGACAAGATGAACCAACACAATACAAAGGGAGAGAAGGACTATATATACACACATTAGGTAATGGGGCACAGGTGGACACAATCAGGGGCGGGAACAACAATCAGTCTAGCAGGTGCCACACGGACAGGAAGTGCAGACACCTGGAAAGAGAGAGTCATTAACATAATAAGACAGATAGACAAACACTAAAAACACAACAACTAACAGGATACTAGCGCTAAAACCTTACACTAATATGCTTTCATTAGGGAGGGAAATAGTCAAAGTTTCCTATTAAACAGTTTTTGTATTCCCTTGCAGTAGTATTTTTGGACTATTTTAACCTATTTAGGAATATAAGACTTTATAAATCTAACTTTAACAGCTGAATCCAAATTAGATTTTGATCAATTATTTAATGTGTTACTGTTTTATCATTAACAAGGCTGTTAGATGTTGTCCTCAATTACTCCATTGAACATGAGAGGTATATTTTACTGGACAGTATGAACAGGAGGAATGTTTATACCAAGCAAAACCTTTTTCAATCAATTTGAAAAAAGTCCTTTAAGTAGATTATGCCATGAAGGGGAGTGTGACTTGGGGTGGGGGTCAGTTTATCACAGTCAGCTGTTGTGGATGCCATGTGAGCAACACCCTCTTTCCACTCATCACAGATAGTCCCTCTTAACAGGCCTGGCTTTAGGGATTTCAGCTCTAATTGGTGACGTCACGTTCTTTTCCATCTCAAAAACAAGACTATTGATTTTAAATCATGTGCGTTTCCTATGGCTAGAGAAGCCAAATACCTGTAAATAAAGTTACTCGACAGCTTCTTTTACTATATACCTCACAACTATGTTCTGTGTGACATATTGAGTAAAAACGTTTACTCACAAATGTTTTCAGTTTAGTGCCAGGGTGG